CAGCCGCCAGACTCCTGCTCTAACTTGTGTGTTAAGATTTTGAGCCATCTAGTTTCTTGGAGATCGTGGAATCCCCACAGTGTGGACATAGGCCATTTGACATATCAAGTCCACACTGACCGTCCGAAGAGCATTCCACCCAGACCCACCCCACTACCCTGTCCTTGTTACCCTGTATTTCCCATGGCTAATCCACCTAGTCTTCACATCTTTGGACTGTGTGAGGAAACTGGAGGACCAGGAGGAAAGCCACACAGACATGGGAAAAATGTGCAAACTCCATACAGTCAGTCACCCAGGTTTCTGGCACTGTGAGGCAGCAGTGCTAACCACTGAGCCACTGTGCTGCCCCATAGTGAAGAGAATTGGAAGTGGCATATAAATAATACAATTTGGCGTGTGAATGAGATGCAGATGCACTGACATAAAATAGCTATCACTCATTATTGAGATTATGAAGACATCAGTTAAACCTTGAGTTAAAATCTGATCCCATTTTCTTGACATCAAGGTTCTAATATATTTCACTCTTGTTGTATTTTCCTAACTTTCTCACATTTCCCACACCACACCAGGGAGGGGATAATTCCACCCTATAAGCACGTGAAAAATGTTGGTTTTGATGATTTTCTGTTTCTGTTTTTGGTTTAGTTTCACCTGTATATGTATTAATTGAGTGCAGAAACAATCCTTTAAAGTTTGCAGAGAAAACGTACCTATAAACCAAGAGTTAACTTGTAAAATATTTCAGGGATATGAAGTACTTTAGGAATTAGCAAAATACTTTACATGTATTGTCTTCAGTAAATTGGTTTTTTATACCCTGCAGCCTACTCAATGAAAGTTTTTCTTTTATTTCAGGTAACCTGCTATGATTATGACAATGATGGATCACATGATCTAATCGGAACGTTTGAAACCAATATGGAGGTGTTGCAAACGGCATCGCAAAGTTCACCAGTAAGTTTCTATGTTTTTGCTACAAAAGGGTTCAACAATTTTTTTCCTGCTTTTTTTCCTGTTGAAACACGGTCCAGAATAAATTTGCAGGCAGCTGAAAGTGTTTGCTCATATGAATTGATTTAAAATTAGGGATACACGGAGGCAAGCAATTGAGGAACGCAACATTCTCATAGAACTGTACAATTCAGCAAGAACCTGCAGAAATAGGGATAGATAAGGTTGCAGAAAAGTTTTTAAAAATATTTTAAAACTTAAAATAAGTAATTGCTGGACCGAAACCCAATTTAGATGAGTGCATAGAGCAGTGATGTTGAATGAGTGCAAGTGAAAATATCTACAGCAGAGTTTTGGTTGCATTCTTGTCTCTAGAGAGTGGAAGGTACAAGGCTGTCCAAGAGAACAGTCGAGTAATTCAGTCTGTTTGCAACAAAAGCATGATTGAGAGCTTTAGCAGCTGGTGAGCTGAGGTAGAAAGGAGATGGGCAACACTATGGAGGTAGAAGTAAGCAGCCTTGGTGATGTAGAAGATTTGAAGTTGGAATCAAAAAAGTCCTTAGGTTTCAAATTCTCTGTTTCATTCTCAATGTGAAAAGATAGAGTTGGAGTCAGTTGTGACTAGGGAATATAGCAGGTACTGAAGAGGATGGTCTCAGACTTGCGATATTTGTTTGGAGGAAGCTTCTACGCATCCAGTACTAATTTCAGACAAGAGGGTGACAAATCCGAGGGAGTGAAGAGATCATTAGAGTTACTGGTAATTATAGCATTGGGTGTCCTCATGGAAACATATGACTTCAGATAGCTTTTCCAAGGGGCAATAAGTAGCTGGGGCAAGAGGATGAGTAAATGCAGTTCTCTGGGGGCTCCAGAGTTCAAGGTGTGGCAGTATGAAGCTTCACCATGAGAGATGATTTTCTAGCTACAGCAGGATGAATAAGAATGGAGCAAGCAATGGCAGCCTCACTGAGCTGCACAGTAGAGGAGCAGCTTTTCAGGCAGAAAGCTATGCCAAACGCAAAGGTTGCAAACAGGTTGAGAAGAATAAAGAGATAACAATAGTTGCAATCACAAACTGTTATTTGTGACTTTAGAAAAGGGCTGTTTGTGTTGTGTAAATCTGCGAAGCGAATTTGGGGGATGGGTGAGGGAAGCTGGTTTTTGGAGGTGACCATAAGTTCAAAGACTTGGACAAGGAAATGGGGGTGCGCTAGTAGGTTGCAAGGCCACAGGTCAAAGGTGGTCTGAGGAATAAAGTGATGATGGTTGACTTGAATTGCAGCAGGTCAATATCTGAGACTTGTGTATTGGAATGTGTAACGGGAAGTAAATGTGCAATTTCTATTGAATATATGTGTAATATACAAGATTAGAAAAGGATACAAACTGATCTCTCATATTGCCCCCGGTGAAATAAGTGATATATAATTTCAAGCTTTATACTGCAGCATACAATAACAGGCAAGGTTATTCCTGGTGAGTGAAACAGTGATTTTTTTTTTTTACTTTAAAGCCCAGTCTCCCATGGAAGTGATAGGGAAGACTGTCCTGGTTGTGAGTAGGTAGGCAAGCACTAGATTGCAGGAGTTGCACCCACTGTTAGCGAGGGGTTGGAGTATTTGGTAATATTGACAGATGTGAAAGTGTAGGAAAAGACTGCTGAAGTGGATGAAACTTGACTTTGAAAGTAATGCAAAGTTGGATGATTGTGAATTGACAGCCTGTTTTACACTTTACTCAATTTTCTTTTTCATGGACTTCAACAGTTGACAGGGTGCAAAACAAGCCAGTGATTTGTTAATCACACATTTTGTGATACCTCCGAAGTCGACTTTCACCCCCCGGGTGTTTGATTTGTGTCGAGAAATATGGCCAGGTGCTGAGAGGAGATTTGCAGGGATGTCATAGTATGACCATGTTGAGGGGAATTGGAAAAATAAAAATAGTAATGTTTGGGAAAGTGAAAGGAGGTATAGAAATGCTGAGAAGACAAAGTTGGAGAAGAATGGGTGGTAGTTACTGGCAGGAGGATGGTTAGACCATAGACCATAAGATATAGAAGCAGAATTAGGCCATTTGGCCCATTCAGTCTTGGCTGATATGCTTCTCAACACTATTCTCTTGCCTTGATCCCCTTGTCAATCAAGAGCCTATCTATTTCTGTTTTAAATGGACTGAATGGCGTGGCCTCCAAAGCCCTCTGTGGCAATGAATTCCATAGATTAACCATCCTCTGGCAGAAGAAATTCCTCCTCATCTCAGTTCTAATGAGTCATCTGTTCACCCTGAGGCTGTGCCCTTGAGTTCCAATCTCTCCTACCAGTGAAAACATCTTCTCCATGTCCATGGTATGTAGGTTTCTCAGTATTCTGTATGCATCAATCAGTTCCCACCCCTCATCCTTCTAAACTCCATCGAGTAGAGACCTATAGTCTTCAACCACTCCTCACATAACAAGCCCTTCATCCCAGGGATCATTTTTGTAAACCTCCTCTCGACACCCTCCCGTATCGGCATTTCCTTCCTCGGATACACAGCCCAAATCTGATCACAATATTCCAAATACAGTCTGACCAGAGTCCACACAGCCTCAGCAATACATATCTGCTCCTGGATTCTAGAAATGTATTTTGAAATGAATACTAACATTGCATTTGTCTTCCTAACTGCCAACTGAACCTGCCTGTTAACCGTAAGAGAATCCTGAACTAGGACTCCCAAGTCTCTTTGTGCCTCAGATTCCAAATCTTTTCTCATTTAGAAAATAGTCTATCCCTCCATTCTTCCTACCAGAGTGCATAACCTTTCACTTTCCCACTTTGTATTCAATCTGCTACTTATTTGCCCACTCTGTCCAAGTCCTTGTACAGCCTCCCTGCTTTCTCAACACTAATTGTCCCTCCACCTATCTTTGTGTTATCTGCAAACTTAGCAACAATGCCCTCAGTTCCTTCATCTAGATTGTTAATGTATAATGTGAATGGTTGTGGTCCCAACACTGACACCTGCGGAACTCCACAAGTCACTAGCTGCCATCCTGAAAAAGACCCCTTTATCCCTATTATCTGCCTTTGGCCAGTCAGCCAGTCCTCTGTACATGCCAGTACATTGCCCCTGGCACTATGGGCTCTTGTCTTATTTTGCAGTTTCCTGTGTGGCATCTTATCAAAGGCCTTCTGGAAATCCAAATAGATCACATTCACTGGTTCTCCTTTGTCTAACTTGTTTGTTACCTCCTCAAAGGATTCTAACAGATTTGTCAGGTATGATCTTCCTGAATGAAGCCATGCTGACTCAGCCATGCACTTCCAAGTACTCCGCAATCTTGTCCTTAATAGTGGACTCTAAAATCTTACCAACCATGAGATCCAGCTGATCGGCCTACAGTTTCCTGTCCTCTTCTGCCTCCCTCCCTTATTAGACAGGAGTGTTATATTAGCCATTTTCCAGTCCTTTGGGACTCTCCCTGATTCCAGTGATGTTTGAAAGATCACCACGAATGGCTCTATAATCTCCTCAGCTATCTCCTTCAGAACTCTGCGGTAGTCCTACTACGTGATTTATCCACCTTCAGACCTCTCAGCTTCCCAGCACCATCACCTTTAGGATGGCTACTACTGTCACCACTGCCCCCTGACTTTCTTGAAGTTCTTTTATGCTGCTGGTGTCTTCCACTGTGAGATCTAATGTACCTATTCAGTGTATCCATTATTTCTTTGTTCCCCATTACTCCAACATAATTTTCCAGTATCTAATGCGCACTCTTGCCTCTCTTTTACCTTTTAGATATCAGAAAAAACTCTGACAATCTTCCTTTATATTACTTGTTAGCTTACTCCTCAGATTTCGTCTTCTATCTCCCTGCCACCTTTTGCTTTTACAATTATCCTGTGCTGGTTTTTAAAGGCATTCCCAATCCTCTGGAATCATACTAAACTTCACGCTGTATGCTTTTTCTTTTGCCATTTTGGTGTCCCTCACTTCCCTTGTCTAATCCTGCACTTAGTGTGCTTTTTTTTCTCTTGAGATGAATCTTTCTACTGTGCCTCCCGAATTATCCCCAGAAACTCCTGCCATTGCTACTACACTATCTTCCCTGCTGGCTCTCCTACTAATCAACTCCTGGCTAGCTCCTACCTCACGTCTTTGTAATTACCTTTACTCGGTTGTAATACTATTCCATCTGAGTTAGCCTTCTCCCTATCAAACTGCAGTGTGAATTTTACCATGTTATGGTCATTGACGTCCAGAGATTCCTTCACTTTAAGTCCCCTAATCAAGTCTGCCTTATTACATATCACCAAATCCAGAATTGCCCATTCCCTAGTGGGTTCTAACACAAGCTGCTCCATAAAAAGCGTTTCATAGACATTTCACGAATCCCTTTTCTTGAGGTATACATGTTTACCTCTTTAATCTTGTTGACCCGTACCAATTTGCTCATGCCTCTGGTTACAATTCAGAGATAATTACCTTTTCAGTTCTCCTTTTTAATTTAGCCCCAGCTGCTCATTCCCTCCACAGAACCTCTTTCTTCTTTCTGCCTATATCGTTGGTACCTAGTTGACCATAGCAACTAGATCTTTCCCCTCCCACAGCAAGTTCCTCTGCAACCCAGATGAGAGATCCTGCACCTGGGCACCAAGTGGATAACACAACATTTCTCTTTTCTCGCCTTTCTTGAATGGTTTCTTGAATGACGTAGAACACAGAGAGCTGTCTGACTTTGACAGATAGGAGAATGCATTTCTTAAGTAGTGAATTTTGGAAATTCAAAACTAAAAATGTAGTTGAATTAAATAACATTGGTAAATGCTTTCAATAGATAACTGCACCTCCACCCCGAAATCACCACCCCATCTGCTAAACCATTGCTCAAGTGCTGAAGTGCTGCCATCAATCTCACATGCACCAGCCTACCCCAATATTGGCATCAAAGCTTCAGTTAAAAATAAACAGAGAGGAGAACTTCAAAATTAGAGACTGAAATATATCTGCAG